CGGTACTCGCCGGAGTCTTGTGAGGTGCTCTGTGCTGATGAATCCAAAAAGGATGAAACAGCCGTACAGTGCTTCTTGGCTTTTCCGCATAGAGTGGCATCACTTACAGGACGAAATTTTCATTACCTATTTCCATCTTCCGACTTTCTAAAATATCGGTTGAGACATAAGGAACCAACTATTGAGATGATTAGGTAAAGCATTTCCAACTGAAGGGAATATATTGGTAGCTCATGTTGTACTGATCGCCATTGTTTTCTTCTCTGAGTTGTTGCAAACGTTTCGTCATCAGTCGAGGTGATATCATCAGTGAGTGGAAGTGTGTTGAGGTTGAAAGAGAACTTTCAATCATCAGCGGTATAGGCTGATTTTGTGTGATTGCTGACTGCCTGATTTAAACCAGTCTTAAAATGTATTGCCGACAAGCTTCTCTTTTTTTAAGGGTTCAGAAATTGCTGGAGAGAAGGTTCTTCTCTCTGAGTGAGGAATAATTTTGCCGTTCAAGTTACCTACAGGTTGTGAATTTCTCTGGGGATTTTTGTTCGCTGTAGAATACTATACTAATTACCTCTTCTATTATGACGTCCTGGTATGGGAAACACAATGTTTGAGCATGACAGTTGTGTCATTCTAATGCTTCAATGAAGCAAAACCATTCAACTAACTTCTGGCTGGTTTGGATCTACACGGCGTTAGTGCTAAAAGCAGTATCGTTCCGTCCGCCTTCAGCCGGTTTGCTGCTCCTTAATGTGAAATTACAAAACAGTGTCCACATTGAACAGATAGGCTTACTGAATGTCCTGTTTGTAGCGGGACAGTTGACGCAGAATGAAACTATGTTACCGCTTTCAACCAGAGTTACTTTTCTGATTTTCTCCAAGATTTAACTTTTGTTCAGAAGGAAAAAATCAGGCGTGTTCCCGTAGAACGCCGCCGATCCGATTTTGGGTGACTGAAGTTTCAACTCCGGTTCTGCCTGGAAATATACCATACCATATACCACTGGAATGAATTACGAAGTGGATAAGGTCGAGGCACTCGAACAGCCGTTTAAACAAGACAAAATTCCCCACAAATTCGTTTAAACCCAGTAATATTCTCCAGTGCTAATCGCCTTAGTAGTCAAAATCGATTCATTCTCAGGGTGGCTAACCGTATACCTCGCGAGACTGTAAGTAAATTTGGCATATTCGCCATTTTTAAGGAAAATGAGTTGAGTGCAGTGAACAGTCACCTAAACACAAGTGTTGTTCCATTTCCCACCATTTAACCGGATACACTAAAGGAGTTCTTGTTTGCTCTAGGTAAATAAGCACCGAGTTTTGAAATTCGACGAAGCACAAAGACGGGTTTGAAGTTTCATAGTGGAAACGAAAGTGGCCGGTCGAGTCAAAGCACAAGGGTCCATTGCTAAGAAGCCACGATCATGCTGCAAGGTAACTGAGCTCACCAAATCGTGCTGTATAGCTGTGCTTAGACCGGTACACCGTAGCTGATCTCACAAATCGATGCGAAGTGTCTAACCCGAAATAACCAGTGAATCTTCAGATTTGATCCAAATGTTATGTTTTATTCCGCTGCTGGCCACGCTTTACTTGTGTAAAAATATCCCACCGGTACTGTCCAACAACTTAGCGTGGCTAATTAAAAGAAAGTTTGGACTATCTTTGTAATGTACTACTCATAAGGTTGCTGAAACTCCGTCGAGAGCCCACTACCGGTTTCGTCCTTTTTGGGGCTCATCAGGTGGGCCCAGTCCCCGGGTTTCCGTCAACTTTATGTTCTACTTGAAACCAAACTGCACAAAATTGGCGAATATACACTCATTTGCAAACTAATTTGTTTTTTTTTTCGAGAGACTCACCTGGAACCCAGGTGAATATCTCGTTTATGATGTTCTCAGGCTAATTTTGGACTAATTTTTAAACTTGAAAATATTTCCTGGCTCCACATCGCTCGCCGTATTTGATCCACCATTGCCGAGGGCTTATACTTAAAAGGTATCTAATTTCGGACGTTGGTCTTCGGGTTAAATTTATCGTTTCAGTGTTCCTCCAGCTGTAATTTTGAGACTACCGCGTGTCTGTATGAAGGTTCTCTTTTGAGATGAATCCGATTTGTGCAGCGGTGCGGGATTTATCTTAACATTGCGGGTTTCTGGACAATTATGGGTGAACGTTGCAGTACCTCTTTGGTGACAGAAATCCACTCCATATCGATCAACTCATTACCAAGGCATAAATAAACTAGCTAAACCGCTTTGCGCACGAACGATGACCAAGTGTGGTGCCAATAACAGGAAACACTAATCAAATGGAGCCTCTGCTGGATACAAGCTTGCCACTGTTAGGTGTGTGGAAGCGACTGTGAATCAGCACTCCTGTTCAATGGCGCAGGGTTTCCGGTTGGCTCCCGTCCTCCATTCGTTCCTGTGACCCCCTTCTAATCATTTTGGCGATCAGCGGCTGAAATCGAGTCATCTGCCCTCGGAAAATGTTGCGGCTGCGTGTTTACACAACAGCCGGAAATTAATTCTCTCGCACCTGGCTAGAAATGGGAACAGCTATCTAACCCAATGCACACGAACATCCTACCTCAAATGACTGTTTTCCAGGCGACTCTCATTCGGGTCAAATTTCGAGCTTATGGTGAACATTTTGTTCTTTTCCCTAGCTTTGTGTATCAAAGGAACATACACCGTTGTCAAGATACTGATAATTACGACCAGTATTGGAATAATTCATGTAAACCGGAACGTCGTGTTAATTAGTTTGAGAAAAAGGAACAGTATGGGTAAGAAACAGAATCTCCCCAAGGAATGGAGCGAGGAAACCATTCACGCAAATCTCATGCAAAGAAAGGAATGTCTTGTTTTGTTAAAATCTTTTGGGATCTAGTCCTCATTTATACTGAGATTACCTTTTTGTAGGGAGATTCTGCGGGTGGGATAAAGGTGCATGGAAATAGAAGTGTTAAACCGGTCCTGTTCTTGGAACAAAAAATTGTGCATTCTTCGTCACATGATGTTTTTTTCAATACTTACCCATCCAGTTTACTGGGAATTCGGAAGCGCTTAATGTTGATGACGCTTGGTCGCCTCATCTTCAATCTCAACCTGTATTTCAGCGGAATTTTCGAGCAAAGATATATCACCCTGATCAGGCAGTCATTCTCACGATTGCAGAGCTAGGCATTTTTCTCGGTATGCCAGCTGACAATACTGTTTCATTCTCTTTAGAACAAATCACTAAAATGATTTGGAACGTCTCCTTTGGGCAGGCTTCCATCCAGCAGGCACCATTTCGATATTTTTATCTTTAAATGGTGCTCCTTGTCTGACACTCCATTTTACTTGTTACAAGAAGAAGGAAAAACGAAAGTATTGAAGAATCGAGGAAGTTTATTGGAGATGATTATCAATGCCCATTCCTGGAAACCTGTAGGGGAATCTTGACTAAAGTCTTCAAGAAGGACATGATATCATGACTTTAGATGTTTATTGACTGATGAACTGCCGGATAATCTGGGGGATACACCCTTTTTTCCTTACAAAGATGAGAAAGAAGTGCTGTCACGAAAATGACTTTTATAACTCATAAATTCTCTCCTTCAATTTTACTAACAGAGACATACCAAAGTCCATATAAATTCATTATTTTCGAAATGACTAGTTTTTTGTTTAAAGGAAAAACAGCAGTGGCAATGTCTTTCTCTATTGGATGAAGCGAAAGTAGCCAAAATCTTATTATACTAACCCATTGGATTAGCGAACCCTCTTTAAATTGAAAATGGGCTGAATCGACTGGGTAGTTCTGCAGTTTTGAACATCAGTTTTCGAGAATACGTTTCCAACGGCTCTTATCCTTTTGCAGCTCGCCATAAAGTAGGTTAGGCATGCCGAACAAGTGTAGTGCGTGCTAAAACTATTGAAAGGAGCTCAGAGGATGACGCAGCATACTGAAGCGCGATATGTGGCGAATTCATGATGATAATTTTGTGACAGATCATCACGGGCTTTCCTTTTGTCCAATTTTGGCATCACACGGTGGGATGTAGAATACCTGTTTAGAAAGATATAGCAATCAGAGATGAAAGCCATAGTGTAGGTTGTTCCCCTTTTACACAGGTATGTCTCTTCATCACTCAAAATCAAGACTATCAAATACATGTCCCACCCACCTACTTTGAGTAAACAGCAACAAGACATCAAAGCAGGATACACTGTCCTCGATGAGACGTTCTGGTGTCTGTGTAAACCATTTCACAATATTGTTTTCTTCTTGTCATATACACCAGCAATTTATAAGGTAATTTCCACTTAGCAGTCGTCGTGAAGGAATACTATCTGTTTGAGAATAACAATCAATGTCGAAACGGTTCATTGATCAACGGTTAGCTGGATGACCACCCAATCTATAGTGGTAGGCTGAATGTTAACCTGAACAAAGACAAAGCGTGGTAGTTTTGCACAACAGCCCATATATTTTTCGACCCATCTCTGCAGGTATCTAATGTGATGAATACAATGAGAATAAGTTGGAATCTGCCCAGCCACACATTCGATTCTATTATCCGAACCGAAGTAAATTAGGCTAGGCAATTCGGAACGTAGTACTCCTACCCCCCAACCTCATTTGTTCTGCGGTGGTACCAAGACTGACAGGTAGGACGGGAGCATGCCTCCAGATACGTCTCGATGCTTAAATTAGGTGACTAGTTCGGATTCAGAAATCCGCCTGATTACTCACGAAACACATTCAAGCCACCGGGTTGATGCAAGAAAGTCTTCTGTTATTTTTCACCGAAAGGTCAGTCCGAAACTTTGCCTATTCAGTGGGAGAGTGCTGACAAATCAAGACCAACGGAGTTTACGCGCTCAGAGGACCGTTAAATGCACAAATGCCTTAACGTTTTGGTAGAAAAATGGGACCGGTTGGTTTCGTTCACTCCTTATTCCTACCAGTTATGAGTTGAGTTGATTGTTTTCAGTACGCGGCACGCTAAACACGAACTATGCAAGACTGGGAACTCTGCATCATCCCTGCTGAAATTGGTGAATGTAAGGAAATATGTAGTTTTTGAAGCACGGCGAACCCGTTCGTATCCTTTTTCACGTTTAACCTTCCCATCCTCCTCCCATCATCGCCATCCTCTTCTTTATCGCCGTCGTCAGAATCACCATCAGCGTCCGTCTCTTCATCATCCTTATCGTCAAAATCATCACCAGTACGATCATCATCATCATCATCATCATCATCATCATCATCATCATCATCATCATCATCACCATCATCATCGCCATTATCACTAGATCCTTCGCATACTTTCCACTATCACTGTCCTCATCGTCATCACAAACATTTTCCCCACCTTCATCACCAGGAAGAGCTTCTGGGGTCATCATCACAACCAGTTTCATCCTTTTCGTTATCATCCTTTTCACCCTTGCCATAATCCTTTTCACCATCTCTCGATCACAACATCAGTGTTGAAATACAAGCTTTTCAATGCCATTTAGCCGTGTCAATGTATTTTTGGGAAGCCCTGAAATGTGGCTCCCACAAAAATGAGGGAACGATATGGTGCTAGCGGAGATTAAGGCTCATCTATTTAAATAACGCGAAATATGTATCAATTCATTATATATTCATTGCATATTATATCTGGTCATCGCAATAAGGCCAAACTTTCTCGACTTAGATGTCCGTGGAGTCTGATTTATTTATATTACACCATTTTGACCTGGATGGGTTAGTGTAAAAGCATCATTAACAACACATGTCTGTATCGGGCGAAAATTCCGTGCAGAAACTCCGTTCGAATGCAGAATTAATTTTTTAATAACACTGGAAAGCACTTTGAACCGAATATGAAGGACAACTCTTCTGGTGCAGCACACCTATTCGAAGGAGTAAGCTGTGAACAGTACGTACCTGTCACGCATGTTTCATTTTGAAACCGTATGACCGGCAAAGTTCATTCCCCCTCGGCAGAAAAGCTGGTTACACTTCACCGGTTACGCCTTTTACCCTATGTTCATCGTATACTAGAGGATTGCCTCGTAAAATTTTCCTCACCTAGGCTTGTATCGGGCGGAGACGATAGAGAGGTGGTCAGTTGGTAGCTTGGTACCGAAGCGCGGAAGTCCTTACCGATCAACTGAGCTGCTTTTGTAGCCGTCATCCCCCCGTACGGAAACCCGGAGACTAAGCAAACCAATGTTAGGTGGCTCTGACAGATATGACTGTGTTCAGCGGCCAATGGTGCTCTTGCATCTAAGCTATCGCCTTCACTGCGTAGCTCTCACATCCTGGCATACTAGGCAACCAGATCCAGCGGTCGTCAGTGCCCATGTTGCGCCACTGCTTTCAAACGTGTAGCTCTCAATCCACTACTCTTCTTATGTTTGTTGAGCAAGCTGTAACAACCGGACCTACTGCACTTCGGCACACGGCTGGTGAACTTGGAAATTGCACTGAACTAAATGATCATGCCGCTTTAAGAAGTTGAATACAATGCAGCTTTGGGTCGATTTCGGCATCCCCAAATCCTGGGTACACTCCGCTTACTCTTTTTTCCGTCCAAAGTTCAGGTAATCACACTTTATTGTGCAGTTGGGTAACAGTAATTGGTAGACCCTCCTTATCATGCTCCGCCTAATACTACGTTCCGCTGGCTTCGCTTAGCAACTTGCCAAAATACATAGAAATGTCCATCTTTGCATTTATGACTTATGTGCTTAGACATTATACACATCTAGTTACACAATTTAAAGACCAATAGCCAACTCCAAATTCCGGGTATATATTCTTGATGAACACTCTCCGAGTTTTGAGGTAGTGACCATTAAGATCGAGTTGTATCATCTCATTTCGGAAGAAATCTCAGCAACTGGCCAAATCAGCTAAAAAACAGTGATGAGAATAACCCAACACGTCTGGCGTTTTGCCGTCAAGATCAAACATATAAAAGAAACAAAAAGTGAAAAAACTTGGCTCAGTTTGTTGAAAATGCTTGCATCGATCTGGCTTTACACCGTACTCAACAACTCAATAAATTTGATTCATAGAGCTTTAAAGTGGAAAAAGCTAGTAGGTTATCATCGTACAACTAACTTCGATAGGTATATTCCTTCATTAGGCATAGCGAACCGTAAAATGTTAGCATCGCTCAATAAATGGAAAAGGATTTAATGAGAGTTTATACTTGTTGGCGAGCTGTCTTTACAGATTTTGTTCACTGATTACCTACTGATGAAGACGCTTTTGAAATGGTATCAACCTTCAGCCAAAGAAAACCACTTTACTTGATCACGTACTGGTTGGCTTCTAGAGTGACGAATCCTCAAGAAGAGGCCTCAGCATCCTCGTAAAACCATCTTTGGACGACTTATCGACTGGTGTTATCGAGAGGCGATTTGGTAAACTTCAAATTAGATTCTGTCCTGTAAGCGTCGACCGTTAACTGGGAGGTCACGAGTATCGTGAGATGCGTACAGCTCCTAATTCCCAGTGATGACGAAATGGCTGTACAGTGCTTCTCCGTTTTTAAGCATCGACTGGTTTCATTTACAGGATGGAATCTCGATTGTTGATTGGCTAACCCCTTTGCACAACAATAAACTAATTTTTCTGTCTAGAAAACACTTGGATGCTTAACCTTTAGAAATATTTCGGCTTCAAATCAAAATTCAGGCCTAATTAACCAGGGGGGGGTCATTTTTACTCTCATATTGTTGTTTAAAAAACGTGGCTGCGATATTCATCTCGTTAGATATCTCCAGAACCTTTATGACCTTTACGTGTATGTTGTGAGATTCGCGGAGTTTTAGCGGTTAGGCCAAGTGTACTGGTAAACGGGATGGGTTCGAACATTAAAAGACGCAATCGTACCCTACCACATACGGGTAAAATTCCACCACTTGGTTCCTTAGTCACTCTTTTCACAAGAAAACTGTCTCGTGAAAAGCGTTTTCCGTTTGACCGAAGTGCAAGCGTCTTATCCGGCTAACTTTGCCCAGGATCGCTCAGTAACAGTTGTGTCTGCAGAGAAGAACTCAACTAGTTTATTTAAATGCTATGCTTCCGCAAGAGTGTGTTATGACCTCATAACGTTTCGTATCGAGTGTGTCACGCTTGTCATTCAGTTTGGTTGCGATCAGGAATATTAATCAAGACACTGTCTCAAACCACGTCAATATCGTCATTGAATTTTGTTCATCTCCCCTTTGGAAACGAACGTACAGTTTTCAGCTTTTTGATATGATTTTCCAGAGTGTGTATCCACAGATCAGACCAGAATAGCTCATTACCAGCCATCCACAGGATGTACACGATACAAAATCTACGGGATATATGATCTTAACGATCGATAACCAAACACTGTGGAACAGCTAGAATCCCCTCACACCAAGACAGGGATAGAGACATATTTAGCATGTGAACCCTAGCTATAAATTGACAGGGCTGCACTCAGATTTCTGGTGGACTGTCAGACAAAGTAATAAAACAGAAAAATAAATTTTTCGCAAGGCGCCGATGTTTCACTATTTGTCTGCAGGAAATAACTACATTTTCATTAATCATTCTGCAGATGACTGAACATATAATTGCACACACACACACATACACACCAGTATTGATTACTCTACGGGCAAATAGTTATCTTTTGGGACGAATCTATCATGTCCCAACCAGTGCATGCAGGATAAACATGATTCTTAACGAACCTTTGGACGTGTGCTGATCTAGAATAAGACGAGAAGGAAAAATATTGGACAACTTGGTTATCTTCAGCCTACAACAGACGTAACACAGAAAAGTTTTATGTGGTTGTTGGCGGTTTTGTAGGATTCTTGTTCGTATCACTCTTGTTTGAATAGTCGTCCTCTTGTCCTGGTGCAATTATTCTAGTGAGGCCACACCAAAGGGGGATGGTATCGAACTCGAGCTTCGTTCTCATTAGAGCTCATCAGCAGTGCATAGGCTTAAGTGTTTAAACTCTGTACGTCTGACATGCGTGGCGAGCAGATCACCACTACTTCAACAGCGCACACGACGCATCTGAACTTTCATGTCTGAACAGGCGAGCATGTTAGCTGAATACTTTCATTTGCAAACTAATTTAGTTTTGCGAAAGATTCGCCTGGAACCCAGCTGATACTCTCGTTTGTGATGTCTCCAGGCAACTGAATGTGCTGCACCAGGCCGCCTCATGTTTCACTTACTACGAGATATCGCGATACATATATATTCGTAATACATTACTCATGTTCATGCTCGAGTGATGTGAGTGGTTTGTCTGACGGCTCGAACGGTGACCCAGTAACTGTCCTGCTTGCGTCGATCGAATGGCCTGCCTGTCAGAACTTACCTGTCAGGCAGCGCTGCAGACACCTTAAACTTGCTGGACAAACTCTGGGAGAGTTGTAGGTGTTGTAGATCTGAAGAATTTACGCTCACATCACGTTCGTTTGAACAGCCGTCTTCCTGCTCTGGAATATTCATTGTGGTTTTAGTTCATCTGTCTTTGCCTCACAAACCTGAATCGAAAGAACTGACCACCACCACAAACTGCTTAAAATCAAACGCCTGCCTACCGACCAACATTGGTCGAGGTAATGTGCCAACACAATTCATACATGGATTTTACCCAGGTATATCCACTAATTTGACTGAAAGAAGCTACGTCCCAGACTGGCCACGGAACTCGCTATTCTAAGCCCATAGTCAAAGAGAATTTTCGCCAATGATGGAGTCTTTCGTTCGATAACGATAGAGGAAGGGTACATTTAACCAATTACATTCCTGAACTTCTTTTGATGGCCAGCCAACCCACACGACATCAAGACCGGAAGGCAGCCGACACATACCGCGGACTCACTCTCATCTGTTGTATGACAACAACCTTTTCATTAAGCGGACAATCGTGAGTCTCTTGTGCAAGTCCACCGAGGGAGGTGAGTCAAGTGTTCACTTCAGTACGAAGAATGCCAACCAAAAAGTACTTGAAAACAACCGGTCCTCTTTTCGTTCAGGAAAACTTGCGATTTCCTAGTGGCTCCAACCAGAAGTGGACTTTTTGTTCACTGCTCTTAGCTAGACGATAAATACAAAATTTATGTAGAAAAAGGCTGAATTCCCTGTGAAAACCCAAATGTGGTTGGCGGGTAGATGAAATGTTATATCAAACATAATTCAATAAGACATTCTTCTCTGTTCAGTCGCTTAAACCTCCAAACCGGCTGTAGAACCTAAGCCTCTGTAACCCAAGGAATCTTCGAGTGGCGTTGGCGCTAGTTGGAAGGTGAGCACTCCTCGTAGCATGTGTGGGATAGCAACCAGATAACAAGTAGTTCAAAAGATTCAAAGGCGAATCTGTTTACCAAACTATTGAGTTCGTAACTTGCAAAACTAGCTGTAAGCAATTGATGCTCACTGGTATAAAGAGAATTTTAAGGTCATCAGTAAAAGTAAAAGCCAAAACACAATTTAAGTCAATGGTACTGTATGCCGTATGATTGTTCTGTTCTCTATTCTTGTCTGCTAATTCCAAACCGCTGAGAAGCAACTATTTCAAAGGGTAGCGCAGTGTTCGGGCACCATCTCCTTTTATTGCTGGAAGTTGTTTGAGTAAGACTTCACGAATGGTGTGCAAATCAAAGGTTGGAGAGATTTCTAAAGCTTCAGAAACTATTCACGCTGTAAGTCTGATGAATAAAAAGGTTTCGCGAGTAATTTTTATCCCACCCGGATGGTTGCAAGCCGCTTATGGGTCCCGCTGGTCAGCATAGGCTAGTAGCAACCCACAAGAACAATCTGATGGGGTACCGTAGAACGATTATCTCCCTCAACATTCCTATTCAGCTAACGTTGCTCGCGTATTACCCCACATAACCTGGATACTGAGAACTTCAAACAATATAGTAATCCTCGGAGGCGCCAAACAGAAAACCCGGAAACACTTTTAGCATCTCCTTATGTACAGTATTGTTTAAAAATTTATGGACCTGTGTGGATGGCATTTGGAGGGAGGGCTTTTCCTGGCATCATGGGGAAACTGACATTTATGGCGAATAGAAGACAAGGAGGGATAACTGGCTACAACTTTCCAATGTGAGGATTTTGTAGGTAAAATTACTATCTTAGTATGAGGAAATTCGGTTGTTTCCAATTGATATTTCGTCTTAACAGGCCAATCTATGCTGAATCGCAGAAAAGCACTGTTGCACTTGAGCAGAATGCGGTACCGCTCAACCTTCACTCACGGAAATCACGATATGTGTTCACACACTGACTAGTCATCGGTGCTCCTAGGCTTTTCAACATCGATTGGCTTCACCGAAAGGAAGAAATCTCATTTGGGGACTAATATCAGTCATGTCTTAGGATTTACCAAGTCTCCTAGAGATCATTCTGGATTTACTCTTAGCTGTTTATAAACCAACAGCACTTCCTAAAGGACATTATAGTTTTCGTGGCCTTTCCTCAATGCTATAACGTATCCAGCTTATTCTTACGATTCATGACAATGTCGTGCATATAAGAAACCCAAAGACATTAAATACTGTACATGGATCAAAACCGTGGGGTTTAACTAGTCGGGCTTTCCAGCAGTCACATGAGTAGAATTCCGGAGAAATATCGGAACTCGGTAAAAACGTTTTCTGAATGCACTGTAAGAGGTCTCGTAAACCACTCAATATGACCGCAACCATCACTAGACAACGAAACGGATGATCATCGGTAGACTGGTGAATGCTCTGTGGACAGCTCCAAAACAGCCTCAAAATGAGTTCACTGATCCATGTTGTTTGTGCTACTTCAAAAGCACTGCTTGATTCACGAATATTCCCTTGTTTTCGGTTCGTGAGACAAGAGCGTCCGCGAAGGCAAGTGAATGAGGTTCAAATGTTTTGGTTCAGTGACAACTTTTATTACTTTTAACTTGGTTGCATTCACCAGTGACCGTTTCGTTGCATATTGTAAAAATGCCCCGATATTTTACGACCCAACGGAGGGTCATCGAAAACACTAGTATTATTGATCCATTCCATTCTGTTTTTGTACTACACAGTGTAACTGGGAAGGTATCACTTACTTTGCAGTGAAACAATCGACTTTCAGAACAGTTATTTAATTGTTTTAAAGTTCTGTTTCAGTCTTCAATGGGAATTTGCAAATCAGTCCAGGTTTTACTCAATCGTCCAGTTAGGTCTTTCGTCGAGTGACAATGTTACTCTTTCTGCTATCCGTAGGTCTTCTCAGTTACGATAGACCTTAAAAATATCCAACCGGTTAGACTCAACCGATATTAGTCGATAAAAAGTTGCAGCTTTCCAGTGCCCCTGGCGCCATTAGCTTCACACCCATTATTGTGACTTTCGAAAAAAAGCAGAATGTCCGGGAAAAAAGGGTTCTCTATGTTAACAATTCCCTCGTCGAGATGATAAAGGGGTGGCTTACTCAGAAGAATGAACGTATGATGGAAGTAAACGGTTTCTTTCGGCCATGAGGCTGTTCATTGTTTTGGTGGAAGTTTGATGCACTGAAGCTGGTCATTACGGCCATAAAGACGACACGTTAGAAAAATCAATAGACCACTGAAAGTTCCGAGTTTGTTCTGTCATTTTGTGAAAATTAAGAGCAGATCAGAATAAACTTAGCATTTACAGTCTTAGGGCCTTACTGAAAAGATAATTTCCTACCCTTATCTCAAATGTTACCAAGTTGACGCCATCAAGAATCGATGAATGCTTGTACATGCAGGATTGATTCGAAATGAAGGTCTCAAATATGAACAGTTTTAAATTGGGTAGCAGGACAAAGACATAAAACGCGCAGGCACACAATTTCTGGAATCCGTTCCATCCACAGCCCAGAGGTTTATGTAATGTGGAGTGTCATACCTTAATTAGGTACCCATATGATCATCAAAACCAGGATGTCGCAACCATGAGTATGAAGTGAACACTGTAAACCCTTCTCAAAAGAGTTTCCATCAGATGGAAATCGCTGCAGGCTGCATCAAAGTTCCGTTTCAACCAAGGCGTGGTGTGTGATCCTCTTAGGAGAAACCCGATTTCAATGAGGTGTCAGAAAATCCGCTTTTCGACGACATTCCTTCATCAGTAGCTACTGTGGCAAGACAACGAACGTTATTCACCAGACAGTCAAAAGCTTACTGCACCATAAGGAGCTGCCTTAAATTACTAATGTCAAACATTACTTCTTGGCCCAAGAAAGCTGGATAGGATGGCTGCGAGTTTTGAATGCTGCCACTGATGGGTCACCGTTTATGGTACTGTTCAACTGAATAAGCTGCTTGTGGGTAGCTTCATCTTCCAGTTGGCACGACATTCGAGAAGCTGCAGAACAGAACACCATAGAGTTAGTGAAAACTCCTCGCTAGCCCACCACCAGTTTCAGCCTTCTTTGGTTCAGGTAAGCATAGTCCCCAGGTTCTATCAATTTGTGTTCTACTTGCAAGTCAATTAATATGCAACACGCTCATTTGCACGGTAGATTAGCTCTAAAGGGAGACCAAACTACGGAATAGCATAAATGAGGGATTCAGTTGAGTCTTACTTAGTCACCGCTTACTTGCTCCTTCAGTGACCACGTGATGTGAATTGTGATTGAAGATGAGTGGCAAGTGCAAGTTGACCACATTACTGATTTGCCGCTCTTGACCGAACGGTTTTAGCTTCACTTATCGACTGGGGGCTCACAAGTTCGTATCTCCCTGGAGATTCGCATTACTGGTGATTCTAAGTGGGAATAAAACTGGTGTACAATGATTCTCGACTGTTTGGCATAGAATTGTTACTCCGTTGATACTCAACTACTGTTACAGATCTTAGCATATTTATTAGTAAATGCATTCGGACCTCTAATCTTAACTGGGTACATGAACAACGGTAGGTCGTTCGTTGGTGCAAATTCCTCAAATCTCCTCGCAATATCAACATTCATTTTGATGCGCAAACTTCTGTAAAAGAGGGACTATCTCAATAAGGACGCCCAAAAAATAGTTGCAGAGCAAGGTCGATCCGAAGAAGAAACTCATGCAAGTGTGTAGGAAAACAACTCTTCCCCACACAGATCTCTATTTGGAAATTCCTTCTTTGCGTAAAGTTATACCGAACATTGAGTATGAGCTAAATTCCAAAATGGTATTCTAGAAAATACTGGCGTGTTTTCGGAATTGGGCATAATCCATGACCATTCAAATGGCTCTAGTTGGATAAACTTTGGAATACTCATGCAAAATGCAGAGAAAATCTCAGTCCAAACTCTTCATTCTTATAACAGGCTTACAAAGGAAATCGTCGGATTGAGCCAGCCCCCATGAGACCACGTGAGTCCCTAGGCTCTGGTGGGGAAACGTCACCTGTCTTTGATGGTCTCTATTGTTGGTTGTTCGTCCGTGGATCCTCAAGCACTGCTTCAGATCTTAACACATTTCTTAGTAAATTCATTCGGATCTTTAACCTAAATCTCTAATATAAACTTTACAATCGACTTTCTCACATTGGACCACAACGGATAACTTAGCTGTCAGTCTCAGATAGAAGATTTGTGTCATAGACTGTTGATCCTTCTAAAACTTATCCTCGCCATCTCGTCAAGAAATATGAGATTCACAAGAATGAATCGCAAACACAACCAGGTCAGTAAAACCAGTTGTTACAACATCTTTATAAAGTAAGCTTGTGGTTCAACTACTGCTTGCTAAGTCTACCGCCTTATAGCGCACCGACTGTCAGTAAAACACGCCGGGCATAGCGCTGTATTCGTGTTCCACTTTACTCAATTCGTGAGTTTCCAGTAGCCCTACGCAGCTAATGAGCCTCCAAGGGACCATCCTACAGGACTACAGCCGGAGCAGGCCACAAAACTCCCATTATATTAGGCCTTTCATAAGATCAAGGCAGGCCAAAGCAAGAAAAATGGTCTAGACATTCTTGTCTGTGTGCTCGTTCAGATTTGTAGGCTGCCGAAAAAAATTATGAGAATGATTGTGGATCCCGGCGGAACCTTCTCCAACATAAGAGTCACAAGGTCAAGCCCTTTTAGTATCAGTTCAGCCGACTGACTGCTGTTCGCTGAGCATTTCAGCTCCTTCATTGCTTGCGTGCTTCGTCGCAACTTAATTGCCTACTAAGAAAGCGGCATGTGAAACCCTGTGTTTACTCAAAAACTACCGTTTCTGCGTGCCAGACAGACCCAGGGCGTGGGTTTACGGGGACATATATCCCAATGCCGCTAAAGCATTTCTTCAGGATCTTAGGTGGTGTGTTTACAGATACGGACAATAGTTCTGACTATCCAAGCTCACAACCGTTGAATATGGATGATCTGGAGTCAGGCCCAATCTGGCATTCAGCTTAAAGTCGTGATTTGCTCCGTGTATATTGAATATGTTAATCCTACTGGCTGTGAAGTGATATCTGAGACAAGCTCCTGTACCCCGAAGGCGAAATGGTATTTGCCAATCTGATATAGCTTGGACGATCTATGAAAGGGTCAGAGTACAAAGCGCCGGTCCAGGTGGCACTTCTTCACTTTTCCGGAAGATTCGACTACGTCCCGCAGCCGAACCTCGTCGTCTGTGGGGTAACTCGAGTGTCTGGTGGGGATAGTGAGGGAGCAGTGCGAAAATAAATAAATAAATAAAAAATTGATCTTTAAAACAGAAGTGTGCTATGTGCGTTGGGTACGACGCAACCATTGGTTGTTTTTTCACCACTGTGCATCCCTTCAGCACCCAAATGCTTTATAATGAAACTCTGAACAATGAATCCTCCTTAGGTGAGGCAACTGGTGCATCAAGTCACGTGACTGGTGAACTGTGCAACTGTTTTCACAATAGCAAAGAAAACGTAAGGTGGACAAGCATTGAAGTTGATTATGACATTGATATATTGCCACAGAGGCATATTTACCGTCTGTCTATCCACGGAAACCAGAATGGTTTATTCTGGAAAGCCCAGGCGGATATAGTTGTATGGTATTGTGTGGGAAAAGTACTGTATTATACTTGAACACAAGACAGTTGATGTTGATTGGCCCCGTCTTGCAATCGCTCATTGCAGTGCATAGCCCATTATCTATGACTAGTTCAAACACCTCCCGCCTATTAAGAAAGATTAGCCTGGCGTAGCGACGACCTTCATAATCCGACCATATCTCCACTGTAGAGATGGCGTATTATTTATTCACAGCGTTGTCGCCAATTAGGTTTGCCAAATTTCCATCAAGCCAGGAGGGAAATTTGCGTGCACTGGGGAGTTTCCACGAGAAATCGGGCTAATTATATCCCCAAA